AAGAAACAGCCAATAGTGTTATTTGATGATAACTTTTTTAACATGCTTATGGAAATTGATTCCGCTTTTAAAGGGGTGCTTTTAGAAGTAATCTGATGATGCTTTTAAAAGCAGCTTTTGCTTTTTTAGCTTATATATCATATATACCTTTTATCTTTTAACAATGATCATTAAGCACAAATTCACCAAACACCTTAATTTATTTTTAAGAAGTTTTTGATATTTGATTACTAATAGTTATTGTGAACAACTTATATACGTTCTATAAGCTACTTTTATAAGTTCCAGCAATATCTCACCATAATAAGTAGAAAAGGGATACTGACAGTGAAGTTTACAATTACTAAAATTGGATATTTCTCAAAACTCATATGAAGACTGTAATGCATCTTTCAATTAAAATTCTTCTTTTATACAGGAAAATCCATCTTCTTTTATATTAATTGCACTTATGCTAGGCTCTCACTGTGATATTAAAAGCTTCACCCACTTAACAAATTTATCCCTTACTCTTTTTTTTTCATTTACTAGGTGAAATGCATGTGCTTCGCACATGGTTAAATGATATTTTTAAAGTTCAAGGGTTATTTTAAGATGGACCAAAAGATAGGGGGTCATGTAAAATTTACCCGACACGAGTTAAGTAATTATTTTTTATATCATAATGAATCATTGAATTTCTAAGGATATTATGTATGCAATCTATCATCTTAAATTAATTTTAGCTTGTTCACTAGTACAAAACATGGTAGTTTAAACGGGTGCAACCGTTTGGACAAATACTGTCCCAAACAATTACAACCATTTGGACTGACAAAAAAACAGTTTGGGCAAAAGCCATTGGGGATGACTCTGTCCAAGCGGTCGTCCAAACGGTTCAAACCGTTTAGACAAACTCCCAAACGGTTGTAACTATTTGGCCAGTTAAATATAGTCCAAACGGTTAAAACCGCTTGGAATTATATTTTTCCAAACGGTTTAAACCGTTTGGGTTAATATCTGTCCAAATAGTTTAAATCGTTTGGAGTGATCTTAGGCCAAATGGTTTCAACCGTTTGGACTAATATCTGTCCAAACGGTTTAACCCATTTGGACGAATATTTGTTCATACAATTAAACTCATTTGGACAGTTGATTTTGATATTTTTTAATATTTAAACTGCTTTATTTAACTACCTGCTTATAGTCAATACACATCTCACAATAGTAAAAGCATTCAACCCATACAATCAGCCAAACACAAGGAGCTGACAAAGTCTCTGCCTCTCAAAAAATATACACAAATAGAAAATACATATTATATGTTTGTTTCTAATATAAAAAATGTCTCTAACATCCAAATAAAACAAGAGTGGCCTGATTCCTTGAAGAAATTCTTTGAAGAATATCTTCCTGGGACAAACCCAAATGCCTCAAGTTCACAAACATCCTAACAATATTCTCCTGTGATAAACCATGAGTTGAACCTTGAGCATTAGAAGTAGAAGCATGAGTAGTCGAAGTAGGACGAGCAGAAGGTGGTATATCAGTAGCGGGCTAAGGAATTGAAGCAGGACGAGTAAAAGACGGTGGATCAGTAGGAGTGGGAGTAGGACGAGCGCTCTGAGAATTAACCTATAAAATAATAACAATGTATGAATGTATACATAGTGTATATGTCTGAGAGTTAAGTCGATGTGTATGTGTATGTGTATGTGTGTATGAGTATCAAATGTATGTATATTTGTGTATGCGAGAGAGAGAGAGGGAGAGAGAGAGAGAGTGTGTGTGTGTGTGAGAGAGAGAGGGAGAAAGAGAGAGAGAGAGAGAGAGAGAGAGAGAGAGAGAGAGAGAGAGAGAGAGAGAGAGAGAGAGAGAGAGTGTGTGTGTGTATTAGCATATGTACCATATGGTTATTAATCCAATGTATCTGAGACCTAAGCTCCTCCCTAAGAATGTCCATTTCATCTACCCGAGATCTAGGATCCGCCAACTCGCGACGTAGCTCTTGATTAGAAGTGCCAATTTCTAGTATGGAGGACGCCCTCAAATAAGACCGAGTGGCACCATTACCCATAGCTCTCTCATAACCACTGTGATGCCCTCCATGAAGGGAAGCTAACATTTGGGTGAAAGAAAGTGAATCATCCTTTGTGGTTGAATCGACCCCTGACAAGGCTGCCTTCTCGATGACCCGATTCTACTGCATACAAAGTATTCAAATATAAGTCAACAATGCAAAAGTAGATATATTTAAGAAAAATCCACACCTAGATATTAGAAAAGTAAATATATCTTTCTTAATTGCCCCATAGACATGAATCCTTTAGAATTCTATACATAAAATTTAACTGAAATTGCATCAACTAAAAAAAGCGAGGAAAAAACATATATAAACAAATTAACATAGTATTCCAAAGTAGACAATGCCTTGACCTTACTGGGTGATGTAAGCGGAAAAACCAAACGGCAGTTAGTATACATTTGGTGAAGGAAGCCAATCTACAATTATTAATCTCAGTATCTACAGTTAGTATACATTTGGTGAAGGAAGCCAATCTACAATTATTAACCTCAGTATCTCATAAAGCATGAAAATTCTATAGCAATGCTGAAGCTGTGAGCCACAAAATGTCATTCTCATCCAACATGTCAAGAATTTAATAACTTTCGACAACAAAAAGAAAGCCATTTGGGCACCATATGACATTTTTCATATATTCGATATATAGTTTTTGATATATTTGATATGTATATGCATATGCAATACTATTTGTTCTTGATCGACACTAAAATCTATATCCAGTTTAGACCAGAGAGATGCCCCACATTGTGATTCAGTGTATTTATATAACATACATGCCAGGAAAGATGAAGGGTATCCTAATAAAATTACATAGATCTCATGCGTAATTTTTTTTGTAGTTATATGATAACTTCTTGCAGAACTTTTGAGGAGGTGATAGAGGTTCACGACAACGATGGCAAGTGCAAGTGCACCACCAACTGCACCTGTGCCGGCTATTGCTGTGGCAAATGAAACAATATGAGTTACTGATCGCCCTATATGATGGTGAAAGAATCAAATATGTTGTATTAAGGTCTAAGGCTAGGAAAAAGTCAGACTCTGGCCCCTTTACCTAGCTATGTAATAATCCTTGCTATGTCTTGTCTAATGAACTTATCTTATCAGTAGTATGTTTCTATTGAGTACTTGTTTCTTGCTAAGTTTCACTTGTTCTTGACCGAGTTGCATATCAACATAGAAAGACTTACAGAAAGAATAGAAATCAATAGCAACTTGGCTGCAGTGTTGAGCTAAATTAACTTAATAAAATCTTTGAATTTGTTCTAAATGGGACGTTGTGATAAATAGTTAGTATGATGGTGCAAAGATTTGGTTACGCAGGAAAAAAAAGAAAAGAAAAGAGCGACCACTAGTGACTATAATACTGTTATACATATTGGTGATTGTTATAAAAATACAAAGATCAAAATCTCAGCTCTGTATGCTGTATTATCCACTGCTTCTCAAATGGTGCTGATTCCTTGGTACAAAACTGTCTGGGAG